CTCACATGACGAGACGAAGAGAACAATGATCGTACCCTACGTACTAATAACGCAAGCATGTATCCAAAGAACCCAGCAGCAACGAGCAAAGCGGTTCCTGCACAATATACAAACCAAAACGACATCGTTTTTCGAAAATCACAACACCAAATTGCGTTACACACGAAAAATGGCATAGTTTTTTTCAGACCAAGATATTGGAGATCTGTGTCGGGTTCGGGTTCGTGATGAGAACAATCGTGATCGTGAAGTTGAATCTCTTTAATCATTTGATTTCCTCGATCAATGACTAAAAGAGAGCAGCTTGAAGAGACATAGATCAAATCAAAGTCATCGGAGAATCTCATTGATTCCTCTTTAGATCCGCTGCTCCATCTTCCCCCGGCGGCTATGGTTGAGACTCCTGAAAATAAACCAATTACCAAAAATGTTTGTAATCGCGTTTCGCAAACGCAAACGCAAACGCTGAATTGTAGTACCGTCGTCGCTGATCTTGCGTATAGCCATATTGTTAGTGTCGGCGACGTAAATGTTTCCACTGTCGTCGATGGCTAATCCTCGAGGACGATTCATTTTCGCTTCTTTGAGCTTTCCATCGACATGTCCTGTGTATCCTTCTTGCGAACCAGAGACTAGCTTTGGTTTACCATCTTCAAAAAAAAAAATCCTTACTTTATTGTGAGATCAGTTTTGAAGAATCGGAATCTATCTAATTTGAATCTAAGAATTTGTGTCAAAGCAAAAGTTAAGTGCTTTAATCCGACAAAAGTGTGTTAACTTGTCCAACAAGAAACAACAGAAAGTACAAACCTGAAGAACAAAGAAACAGAACATGCACAAAAGCTAATGAGTCGTGTTGTGGACTAAAGTGCAAAAGTTTTATAATTTCTCTAAAAAGATTTTTGTTTTCAAAGAAAGAACCTTTAAAATCTAAAATGAAGAAGCTCACTTTTTTTTTTAACTGAACTAAAAAAAAAAAGCAAAAGAAAATGAATCCCAATCTTGAAGCAAAGCATAACATAATTGTGTACGTATATGATCTAACATTTTAGCATAGATTGACTATACAAGAATGAATAAAATAATCAATCTTAAGATTTGTTTTTACATCTAATCTATTTGAAGAAGAAGATGAAACTTACATCTAGAAAGAGGCATGGAGATTTTGTGAATGTTACTATTCTCAGAATCCAAGACAATAAGCTCTCCTCCATTAGGGGAAACGTCAATTGCATAGGGCTCAATCCCAAGCTTACTTCCATCAAACACTGTCTCTATGTTATATCCACTTTCATATTTCACCATCGAACGGCTAGAAACGCCTGTCACATTTCCTCAATTTGTTATGTAAAGATTGAAACTTTGATGGCATCATCAAGATCATAATCAAAAAGCTATAATTTTTGTTACCAGATTTTGTGGTGGTTGTCGTGGTTGTGGATGTTTGAAGAGACCACAACCATTTCCATAGCAATGATGCTACATTTGTCACAAGCCCACTTACAATCTCTGTCCCCAAAACAAAGTGAAACATGAACATTTTCATTTATTACAACAAAAATGAGAAAAAAATGTACCAAAAAGATGTTTTTTTTTTGTTTATTTAAAACAAATCAATTTAGGGTAATCAAGAACTTACTAACAGGAGGAGGTTTAGCAGAAACTGAGGACAACCCATAAAAGAAAAACATGAAAATTAGAAAGAAAACCAACAAATTTGCATTTTTCCTCATTTTTATTTTATTTTAAAGGAAAACAGAGCAAGACTTGCTCACAAGTTTTGAGAGGTGATATACATATATGTGTGTTTCTTATGCACTTATATATACAGATATGATTAGAGCCGACAAAAGAGAAGATTTGGAGTTAAAAGAGACATAAAGAGACAAGAATCATATGCTCTGAGTCTTGTCTGCTTATTGTTCAATCTTCTCTATTGGATCTTTAATCAGTCGGGACAAATCATTACAAAATAAAAAAAAAAGAAAAAGCATATCTTACTTATGCCACAAGCAACTATAACACCTCTACACCAAAATTACAACAACAAAACCCTGAGAATTCATCATTTACAAAATTGCAAGTTTATCCAAATTTAACACACACAAAAAGTGAAGAAGATATACTCAGACGATATAAACCATACCAACTTCTAGAGTAGAAGCATGAGGAGTAGAGAGACCATAACAAGGTCCTCTCGAGTTTCTTCTTAGAAAATCATAGCCAAAGTTGATAGCGATCTTCTTCATCACACTCGATCCCGATTTCGCTCTCACGTATGAATGTCCCATTATAAACGCCATTCCGGCCTCACGCGCCTCCATCAACTCATTTAACTCTTCCTCCGTGGATCTATCGATCCTCGCGCTTTCTGGTAACACAAACCGTACCCTTTTCTTGATCCCTGGCGAAGGAACTTGTGGCTCTACCGCCACTACGATTACTTCTGAAGAAGACGATGGTTCTGGTTTATTAAAACCACCATCGTCTGCGTAGATTTGAACGCCTTCCAGATTGGAGGAGGAAGCAGCGACGACAGTTAGCCTCTCATTGGTACCGCATTCGTTTTCTTGGTCCGCCAAGCAATCGAATGGTTTATCCGAACGGATGAACTCTGCAATACTGCAAATGAGGTCATGCTCAAACTCGAGGTCGTCTTTGTGTACATCGCGGTATCCATACCGGGCGATGCACCGGTATAGCCGGTGCTCTTTCGGTCCAACTCTTCCGACGAGAAACCGTTCTTCTGGTTTCACATGCGGGACAGGGACAGATTTCACACAGAGAAAGACGACGATTTGGTGGAACGCCGGGAGGTTAGTGACGAAATGAGAGAAGATCGCAGGAATGCCAGAGACAAGCTCGGTGTTGATCACGCCGATGCCACGGACTCTGACGATTCCGAGGTTTGAGGAGCCGAAGAGTGTGAGTAGCCAGTTGATTGAGACTTTGTTCTGGACATCGAATTCGTAACGCTTGAGGGTTCCGTAGTGCCAAACGTACATGATGAGTAGGAAGATGAAGGAAAGGGCGAGTGGAACCCAAGCGCCTTCGAGGAATTTGATGAGTGAAGCTGAGAAGTAGAGAGCTTCGATTGTTCCAAAGAAGAAGATGAATGCTAGGGCGAAGATGGAATTCTTGTGCCAGCATAAGACGATGACCAGCGACATTAGGCAAGTCGTTACCAACATAACGGTAATAACCGCCAAGCCTGCATTTGTTACATTACAGAGAAGAAGATTCAGAAACCAGAGAGTTTCTTGATTTTTATACAGTCGCGGGTTTAGTGGTTATGGCTATGGATACAGATACTGTACCTGAGGCGTTGCTTATATGTTTGGTGTCGCGGAATCCAACAGTCACTGCTAAGCATAAGAGCATGAGAGTCCAGTTGATCTCCGGGATATATATCTGGCCGTGCATTTTCGATGATGTGTGCATGATTTTGACCTTCGGGAAGCAGCCTAGAGAAGTGCATTGCTTGATGATCGAGAATGTTCCCGTGATTATCGCCTGACTTCCGACAACAGCCGCCAAAATCGCAATTGCCAAAACCGGCCATCTGATTCTCTCTTTACACAACAAACAAACAAAAGTAAGTGCCAAAGCCAAACAAAAACAGAATTGCATATTAAAACAAGATGATGACTTGATTAATTACCGGGTACCGAAACATAAAACCCGACCCGGTAATCAGTCTCGAGGAAATGGTGCTTAGACAGATACGCGGCTTGACCCATATATGCGAGGATTAGTGATGGATAAACAGCAAATGTGAATGCAATCTGCAGCCAGAGAGACAAGTTTCAAGGGAAGCTAATAAGAGAATACCAAAAAAGATTAAAACTTTTAAAAGTAAAGTCATGGAATTTGCCTGAATTGACAACTGAGTGAAGTGTCCTAGATCAGCAAACATAGCTTCTGAGCCTGGAAACACCGCGGAGACAAAAATTAGAAATGAGATATATGCTTCAACTCAAGGACAAAAGGCCGTTTTCTTTACCCGTTATGCATAAAAGGATGCCACCGAGAGACATCCAGCCACGTTTGCGAGTTTTCTTGAGGAACTTGTAAATGTAATAAGGAGACAATGCTTTGTAAACATGAGGATTCCAATGGAAGATGTTGTATACACCTATAGTGCTTATACAGAGAAGCCATGCAAGCACAATAGGAGCAAATAAGAATCCTAAACGATGTGTCCCATAGTGTTGCAGGGAGAACAAGAGTATCAGTATGGCGCAAACCACGGGCACCTCAACATCTGCATAGTTACGCGGTCTTAGTTGATTATTCAATAAAGGAGGAGTAGCAAAGTGATTCAACTACAAAGAAGGTTACTTCAGATTCTAAAACTATGACCTGAAAGTCTTATCTAAACCACCTAACTTTTTCTTTGACCACTTAAGACTTTTCAAAAGGTTTAAGCTTTATGACTTTTATATTCCTTCAGCTTTATTTCTTTGATTTAAATTGCAAACTCATAAACCACATTCATTATCTTATGATTATAAGAAGCATGCATCTGCATCAGCCTCACCTTCCACACCAACAAAAAGTTGAAAACTTAATATATAACTATTAAGAAGCTTCCTGTTCATCCTAACTTTCAATCACCCAATTGACTCTGTTGACAAATAAGGACCAACAAAAATAGCTAATCTAAACCCGACATCTCGAGTTATCTCGCGATTTTGCATCCAGTTTGCCGCTAATTAACTCCTCCTAAATCTACCTAATGCAGCAATTCCTTCTCCTAAACTATTTTAACAGCATTGAATTAGACTTAGGGACCAGAGGAAACTAAAGAGGAAACCACTAGAAACAGCATAATTTACCATTTTGGGGATCTAATGATACTGAAATTTCTACTTTTAACCAAGTAGAGAGCTTACACTGATGTTGTTCCTTGGACATGGATAGCTCTAATCCAGAAACGGCTGAGAAAACTGCAAAAACCATATTCTACTTAAACAAAATCCACACAGAAAAAAAAACCAAATCTGAAAAAAGAATCAATTTTATTTGTTTTACCAGAGATTGCAGGTGTGAGAACACCATCACCAATGACCATACAAGTCCCAATCAAAGCAAGAACAAGCAACATGTTCTGAAGAACCTTATACTTCTCCAATACACCTTTCAAACTCCACCCCGTAACTTTCAAATTCCTCGGATTCGCCCCGTAATCTTTCTTATACTCAGAAAGATCCTCATCAGCGAGCTGGAAATTGGGCAAAGAGCTGATTCTAGCATGTCGACAAAGCAAAGAGTAAAGAGCAAAAGTCCCACCTTCACCATTGTCATCAGCACGAAGAACAATAAAGACGTATTTAACTAATGGGATTAGAGTTAATGTCCAAAAGACAAGAGACAAAACACCAAAGATCTCTTCGTTTGTCTCTGAATGTTGAATATCTTCAGCGAATGTGCTCTTGTAGACATACAATGGTGAAGTTGCTAAATCTCCATAGACAACACCTAAGCTTTGGTAAGCTAAAGTCAAAACAGTCCACCAAGATTCTTTCTG